GTTTGGAATTTTCAGTAGATGTTAGTTTGTCCCCGGATTGGTTTTTGTTTCCTTCTGTTTAGTGAACAGAAACAGATTCCATGCCTTCAGGGTCTGGTGGTACTAGCCACTATTAAAAAGCCTGAAGGACAGCACCTGAAGCTTTGACAGTGTACTCCAGGGCTGGGGGGTGGGAGGGAATTTACAGGCCAAAGATGTTCAGCACCAGGGAAGCTGGAAGGAGCCAGCAGGGTGGGACCACAGTGACAGGGAAGTGCTTGGGGAGGGAGAGCTTGGTGTGTATAGCATTCTACTATCAGTCTTTCCACCCTTCCCACTTTTTCCAGGTTTGGACAGTGCTAATAGGTAGGTCTAGGCTTTGCTACATTTTCCATCATGAAATGTCCTGCAAGGAAAGAGGGGATGCTATTGAGAAATGTCCTGAATTTCTGAATCATCTTATGGGGCAGAAGAACTGGCTGTTTGGAGGGTGTTGTTTAATTCTGGGTGTTTTGTCTTGTTCTCCTATTGTAATATGACACACGGGTATTGAGACTGGAAAACTCAGTGTCGCCGCCTTTCTCAGTATCTACGCAGTCTCTTCCCTGGTTAGTGTCCTGACTGCTCTAACAAGGCTGCCTTCCTCATTCCAGGGCAGAATCTGTTCACCCATCCAGCCCAGACCCAACAGGAACCTCTTTTCTAGCTTAGACAGAGCCACAAGCACACACGTTACCAACTGGAAAACGTCTGTTCCAGGAGGGCGCTGATGAGAATAGAGGAGCAGGGAAGCCATTTGAGGCACTTGGTATTTGAGCTCAGACCTGTGCAGAGGAATGTTAGCTGGTGAGGCTAAGCTCAGAGAGTGTGCGCCAAACAGCAGGGATAGCGTATACAAGCTGTGAACCAAGAGGCAGGCCCATGGGACCCAGAAGGACGCCAGTGTGGCCGCAGCCTAGTGGGTGGTGGGATAGGGTATTGTACAAGTCAGGAGCAGCCAGAGCAGGCATTTCTGTGGGCCATCTCATGGGGCTCAGTTTCGTTCTTAATGTAGTGGAAAAACTGTTGGAAAATCCTTGGGCTTGAAATGACATGATTTATGTTTTCAAAAATCAACTATGGTTGCTGTATAGAAAATAGATTAGAGAGGGCAGAGTGGACATGGGACACCGGTGGTGGGGTTTGAGCTAGGGAGGCACCAGTGGAGAAGAGAAGTGTAGGGAAAGCAGGGCTCTGGGCAGGGCTGCAGGACAGGGATGTGTTGGGAACGACTGCTTGTGCTCTGGCTTGGGGAACTGGGCAAACTGCAGAGAAAGATGCTCTTACTTGCTCTTAACTTGTGAGCTTTTGTGATCCCTGGAACCCGTGCTTGTGATGAGTCATGTTTGTGAATAACCAGATGATCATTCTATTCTCCCCTCTCCTCACCCTCTCCACCACACAGATCATTTGGGAGAGAAACGAAAGCCACCAATTCAGACATCAGGAGGGAGGTGACCAATGCAATCTCAAAAGCATCAAAACTGGACAGTCTGGAGGCTGCAGCCAAGAGCAAGAACTGCTCCAGTCCCCAGAGAGGTGGCTCCCCAGCCTGGGCCCCAAAACACCAGCCTCAGCCCCTGAGGGAGTCCAAGCTGGAGTCATACAGGGACTCGCCCAGAATAGCCCCGCAAACCCCGGTCCTTCAGAAGACTTCCAGCTCCATGACCCTGCAGGCCGCAAGCGTTCAGCCGGAACCAAGAGCACCAGTCCTGGGGGCCCTATCACCTTCTGGAGAAGAAAGAAGGGGCCAGCTGCTCCCCATCCAGCCACCTTCTCCACCAGGCAGCCTGGCCTGGGAAGCCAAGACGTTGCGAGCAAAGTTGCTACCAGGAGAATCCCCCCGGAGGACCAGAGGGATGCAGCATTCCCCAAATTTGAGAGCAAGCCCCAAAGCCAGGAGGTCAGGGAAAATCAAACTGTCAAGTTCAGGTGTGAAGGTGAGTAGAGCTAATTAGGGTCACCAGTTGCCAGAATGTAGCCCCTTGGTGGCCACTCCCTTCTTTCAGCACCCAGCTGGTCTGCACCTCCTATATCCACTCATGTTCTTGGAGTAGCTCACCTAGAAAACCACCTTACAGGGACCTTGGACTCACTATAGAAATGTCCCTTTATTCTGGAGAGACCCCTAACGGCAGCCTATTGTTTGCTACTGGATAAGAGTACTGGCCCTGGGCCGTAGTTCTTATCACCCTAGAAGAAACACCCTCATCATCGTCAGCATCAAAAAACAAACCTCACAGTCTCTTCCACTCTTTCTTCCCCTTGCCTGGCTGACCTGGAGACCTGGCCCATCACCCTGTATTCCTCCTCCCCAAGGCCCTGACTCTGTCTCAGGAGATTTCATCTTGTAGAGTGTGGTTAAGGGTGAGGATGTCCTTTCAGTTGATGTTGAAACTATTTCTTTCTGTTTGTTAGTTTTCCTTCTAACAGTCAGGCCCCTCTGCTGCAGGTCTGCTGGTATTTGCTGGAGGTCCATTCCAGACCCTGCTTGCCTGGTAGTCACCAGCGGGGACTGCAGAACAGCAAAGATTGCTGTCTGTTTATTCCTCTGGTAGCTTTGTCCCAGAAGGGTACTCACCAGATTCCAAGCCAGAGCTCACCTGTATGAGGCATATGTTGGCCTCTACTAGGATGTGTCTCCCAGTCAGGATACATGGGGGTCAGGGAGCCCCTTGAGGAGGCAGCCTGTCCCTTATCAGTGTTCAAATGCTGTGCTGGGAAATCTATTGCTTTCTTCAGAGCTGTTAGGCAGGGACGTTTAAGTCTGCTGAAGCTGTACCCACAACTGCCCCTTTTCCCAGGTGCTCTGTCTCAGGAAGGTGAGGGCTTTATTTATAAGTCCCTGACAGGCTGCTTCCTTTTTTCAAAGGTGCCCTGCCCAGTGAGGAGGGAATCTAGTTACACAGTCTGCCTGCAGAGGCCTTGCTGAGCTGCCACGGGCTCTACCCATTTAGAACTTCCTGGCGGCTTTGTTTACACTGTGATGTTAAAATCACCTACTGGAGCCTCAGTGATGGCAGATGGCCCTCCCCCCATCAAGCTCAAACGTCCCAGGTCGAGCTCTGACTGCTGTGCCAGCTGTGAGAATTTCAAGCCAGTGGAAATTAGTTTGCTAGTCTTTGTGGGGGTGGGACCCACCAAGCCAGATCACTTGGCTCCCTGGATTCAGCCTCCTTTCCAGGGGAGTGAACAAGTGTCTCACTGGCATTGCAGGTACCATTGGGTTATAAAAACAAACAAACAAAAACAAACAAACAAAAACTGCTGCAACTAGCTTGGTGTCTTCCCAAACAGCCACCCTGTCTTGTGCTGGAAACCCACTGCCCTGGTGTTGTAGGCACCAGAGGGAATCTCCTGGTCTGAGGGTTGTGAAGACCACGGGAATAACAGTATCTGGGCCAGAGTCCAGGGTACAGTCCTTAGTGGCTTACCTTGACTAGAGTTTGGGCTTTCCGGGTAAGGCGACTCCCTATCCTGCTTTGGCTCACCCTTCTTGAGCTGCACCCACTGTCCAAACAGTCCCAATGAGATGAACCAGGTACCTTAGTTGGAAATGCGGAGATATTCCGCTTTCTACATCAGTCTTGCTGGGTGCTGTGCAACAAAGCTGTTTCTATTCAGTCATCTTGCCAGCAATTCTATTATAATTTTCATTGGTAAACACTGATTGAGCAGACACTACGTGAGGAGAGTGGAAATGTTGCATTAGATAGCCCTGACCCATGGAGTTTGCAACATGGGTAGAAATCATGAAAATACTAGATATAAGTGGATCACAGCAGTATCAAGGTGTACATGCTGAATGACAGAGGAGTGGTCCTAACTGTAAGTTTTGTATGACAGCCAAGAGAAGAGAGAATCCTCAAGTGACTGAGCATCACTGAGGATCCAGCAGGAAGCAGATGGCATACTCAAGAGAGTTTAACTACGGAATTATTTACCAGAGAATGGGCAGAGTTGAGTGAACCAATCACAGTGGTGAGCTTAGGGACTAGCAACTGTGGAATCCATTACCACCCCTAGACCTGAAAGGGCAAGGGAGGGAATGATGTTATTGGAGCCACATGAGAACTGGTTTCACGGAAGATAGAGTGCTAGACAGTAGCTGAGGCTACGGATGCAAAGCAAGAAGCTCAGTTTGGGAGCTGGGGAATACATACCCAATATATGATCACCTGCTGATACCGTCAACAGGCCAAATCCAACCAGCTATTAGAGAGCAAAGAAGCCCAGGGGATACAATTCTGGTGCAGACCAGGCTAGAGAAGGGAGGCTAGAGAGTGGACCTAGCGAGACAAATGGAGACTAGCCCAGCACACAGGCTGGAGATCTTGCTATGGGCCTTAAGAGAAAGGGAGGATACACTGGCATAGAAAAGGAAGAGGGAGATCATCTTAAGCAGAAGTAGACATGTGGATATAGGAAATGGGAAATATATTTTTTTTTCCAGTGAGGAGGCAATATGTACACAGTGCATTTTCTTAAGAAGACATATGTGAGGCCAACAAACATATGAAAAAATGCTCATCATCACTGGTCATCAGAGAAATGCAAATCAAAACTACATTGAGATACCATCTCACGCCAGTTAGAATGGCAATCATTAAAAAATCTGGAGACAGCAGATGCTGAGAGGATGTGGAGAAATAGGAACACTTTTACACTGTTGGTGGGAGTGTAAATTAGTTCAACCATTGTGGAAGACAGTGTGGCAATTCCTCAAGGACATAGAAATAGAAATTCCATTTGACCCAGCAATCTCATTACTGGGTATATATCCAAAGGATTACAAATCGTTCTACTATAAGGACACGTGCACACGAATGTTCATTGCAGCACTGTTTACAATAGTAAAGACCTGGAACCAACCCAAATGCCCATCGACGATAGACTGGATAGGGAAAATGTGGCACATATACACCATGGAATATTATGCAGCCATCAAAAACGATGAGTTTGGGTCCTTTGTAGGGACATGGATGAACCTGGAAACCATCATTCTCAGCAAACTGACAGAAGAGCAGAAGATCAAACACCGCATGTTCTCACTCATAGGTGGGTGTTGAACAATGAGAACACGTGGACACAGGGAGGGGAGCACTACACACTGGGGTCAGTTGGGGGGAAATAGGGGAGGGACGGTGGGGGGTGGAAAGCTGGGGAGAGATAGCAAGGGGAGAAATGCCAGATGTAGGTGATGGGGAGGAAGGCAGCAAATCACACTGCCACGTGTGTTCCTATGCAACAATTTTGCATGTTCTTCACATGTACCCCAAAACCTAAAATGCAATAAAATAAATGGGGAAAAAAAAAAGAGTAAGGCTGTAACATTCAGGAAGCTTGTAGGAATTGGCATAGTTCAGTGTTTCTTTGTCACAGCACAACTGATATTTGCAGTAGGATAATTATTTGTTTGGGGGACTGTCCTCTCCTTTGTAGGATGCTTAGCAACAGCCCTGCCCCTACCCTCTATACGCTAACAGCAACCCACCCCCAGTTTTGCTGATAAAAAACGTCATCGCACATTGCCAAATGTACCCTAGGGATGCAAAACTACGCCCAAGTTGAGAACTACTGGGAGAGGAAATGGAGGAGACCATGATCAGAAAATCGTTGAAACACAAGGTGCATATAAGATGCTAAGGGCTTAGATCAGTGTGGAGCAGTGAGACTGGCAAGAAACAGACAAAGGCACGGGGCCTGTAGGTGAGAAGCAGATGGGCTGTGTGAGAAGAGGCAGAGGGAAGTGGCTAAGGGTGATTCTAAGGTTTGTAGTGAAATAACAGGGAGGAGGATGTCTCCACTGACAGCACTATGGGGCCAGCCTTGGGGAAGATGATGTGCCCTTTGTGAGCTTGTTTGAATGAAATCCAGGACATTTGGACATGGGACTGAGTTGAGCAGGGAGGTTAAGACTTTAAGTATAGATTTGAGTCATCCATGCAGAAAGCTAGCTGAAAAACTTCTATCCATAGGAGGATAGAATGAATCTCCTGGGCTTCCTTGATCTCATAAGAATGAAGGGAAGACAGAGAGAAAACCAAGGACTGAGGTTTTTCTTTCTTTTTTTTTTTCCCCCTTTGGTAATGGTGGGGAACAAGGGAGTGTTGTGCATTATTTAGAAGATGAATAATGTGGGATAGAAATAGAAGGCTCAGGAGGCAGGAAAACCAAGCAGTTTTCCGAAGGTGAGAGTGGGCTGAAGTTCAGCTCCTACTCTACTTGTCAGGCCATATGCCCAAGCGGCTACATCTATCCCTGAGCAACCACCCTTTTCTAATGTATGCAAAGGTGCCATATGGGCCAGGGCAGTCCTAAGGAGAATCAGAGCAGCCACAGAAGACACAGGTGTTAAGAAGGGAGGAATCTTGTCCACACAACTCACCCCACCTCCCAGTGATAAATATTCTCTTTTTTTCCTCCAATCACTCAAGTCCTTAAGGAAATAGAATTTGATTGGGTAGACATTTTTACTTGTGTGGAATTTTGTGGTTTGTTCTTCTTAATTGAGTGGGCATGGAAGGTGTTACTCTCCTAGGTTCTGGAAAAAGACTACACACAGAGGTTGCAGGAAGAGGAGGGAATCCACAACCATAATGAGTGGCTACGCTTGTCATCTCACTGGTTCCAAATTGGAAGAGAGATGACGGACCTTCTCATCATTTTCTCTTACAAAGAGGCATATTGTTGTAGGCAGGATTCTAAGAACAGCCTCCAACATTTCCACCCGCTGGTGTACATGCCCTATGTATAAGCTCATCATCCCTGTTAAGTGTTAGTGAGACCTGTGAATATGAGGAGCAGTCATTCCTGTGATTAAAATTATGTGGCAGGCCGGGTGCGGTGGCTCATGCCTGTATCCCAGCACTTAGGAGGCCAAGGCAAGTGGATTACTTGCAGTCAGGAGGCACACAGCATAGGGAGAACTGACTTTCTGAGCTCATAGTTAGTATGAGACAGTTGATATTTACTATAATGTTGAGATGGTAGAGAAGGCAGTCAAGATTCTCACTCTCTGGTGCCAGACCTGTCATTATTAGGCCAAATAGAATTTCAGTCCCTAAGATACTGAACATGCAAAGCTGACACAACACTGA